TAATTTTTCACGAAATGTTTTGTTTCCATTTTGAGGAGGGATGGGAGGAGACAACCCCATGTGGGTTGTTCTCTTTCTCCAAAAATTATATATAAATATATAAAGGGCTACGCTTCTCTCTAGTTCGTGGTTGGACTGGAGCGTGTTGTTGGGCCCATGGAGGCCCACCACAGGCCTTATTTCGATAATCTGAACCATTCAATGTGTAGAACCCGTTGAGTACTTTATCCCTATAAAAAATCATATTGATCGAATATTGATAACTACTTGATTGGATCAAATTTCTATCAATGGTAAATATAATTTTCAAAATAAATTGTTGCCAAAAATCAAATCCAATCAAGTAGCTATTGATATCCGATCAATGTGAATTTTTATAAGGATAAAGTACTCGACGAGCTCTTCACATTGAACGGTTTGGATTATCGAAACAAGACCCGTGGTGAGCCCCACGGGTCCAACAGTATCGTCCAATTCACTTTGCGGACTAGAGACAAGATGCCCCCATATATAAACATATTTGTAATAATATCATAAAATTTATATCACAAATTAAAAAATGATATAATTTTATCTCATCATAAAATATAATATTTTTATACACCACAAAATAAAATCTCTTGCTCACTACAAAAATATACCCCCTTTTATTCACTACAAAAATATATAATTTTTCACAAACACATGATAAATTCAACTTACCAATCACATAATTAAAAGGACCAAACAGTCAAACAAGAGTAATAAACAAATTCAAATTAAATTGATTTTAAGTAATGGGTCTTAAATTAAATTCTCACTCACAAGCCAAACATAACCAAATTGTACATCAAAGTAGACCCAACAAACTTATCTCAAGTCATGGTCTAAACATCCAAAACTCAACATCAAATTATGCTATAAACTCAACTGAACGCTGTTCAATCCATGAATTTTCAGAAAATAAATAATTGTCCTTTATTCTGAAATTTTAACACAACATGCTAGGCTCATATGGAACTGACATAAAAATTAAATAATTTTCTGAGATAGGAAACCGTTTTTAAAAAATACAAAATCGGACCATTTTCAAACAGAATTTTACACAATAACTCAATCCAAATATTGCTCAATTAATTTATGCACTGACTTTTTTAAAAAAAAATTCTGAGTCATTACAGATTGAATAGACAAAGGAAAGTTTCAATGCCAAAAAAACCAATCCGATCTAGTTTGATCAAAAAAACAATTAGTGGTTGTTTACTAGGAAGCTCCTCTTTTGGTAAATTCATATCGTATTCTACATGACATTTTCTTCCATTTCAACCTTAACATCTTAGACTTCTGAAAGTTTTTCCAAAATAATATCAGGTTCCTCATACTTAGAAACTGCTTGATCAACAACGTCCACTTGATCGTCACAATTTCCTTGAATAATTTCTAAAGTTTCTCCACACACACAAACAAAAATAAATAAATAAATAAATACTAACAATTTATTCAAAATAAACTTCCACTTGATCGTCACAACACCCTTTAGGAATTGCAAAAGTTTTCCCCAAAAAATGGACTAAGAATTTGTTCAAAATTGCTTTCATCTAAGTCATTTATTCATCTCTTTCATATCTTTCTTCATCTAATGGTGCTCATGATAGGGATCTCAAATTTAGAGTATAACTCGACATTGGTGGACAAACATAGCTAATGGGAGAAAATATATTATTTTATTTTTTAAATAATGATTTTGGTTCGAATTGATGAGTTCATATAAAGAAGACAAATCACACCAATTGAACAGAGCAAAGTGGATCAAAATTGGGCTCTGATACCAATTGATGCCGAACAGCTATTAAGAAATCCGTTCAGCAATCTAACTTATTCCAAAACTAAAATTTATGGAGAATTCATCTAAAGAGAATATCAAACTTTTAAAAAGAATCAAAAGAGAAGAAAAAGAACACAAGGGTCAAAATCGTAATAATCTCACAAACAGCCACAACCTTTTACTCAATATCATATAATAATGGTATCAGGATATATATCGATATCAATAATACAATCATCTATTGGTCTATATCAAAGAGCAACAGATAGTAAAACTGATATATAAGTGAATAATAGTATCGAAATGCCAAAATCCCGTTACAATGAAGTCAATACCATACATAATGGTTGATACTTAAAACTCTACTAATATCAATAATTTAAAGCTAACCTAAACATATTACGTAAAACCATATATATAAGCAATGCAGGAAACCCTAATTCAAAATAGGAAACTAAATCATAATATATTATTTGGTAACTAGAACCCCTTAATAAATAAATAAATTAAATATATTAAGGTTTAAATGAACTATAAATAAATATATAAAGTATTAAAGACAAATAAAATCATAAAACTGTAAATAAAGTCTACAAGAGAATCCATGAACATCCAGCATCACCTTCCCTATTTGAGTTGTGTTAATTGAGATTAAAAGTGATGTGCAATTATACTTGCGTCACTTTACAAAATCAAATTTCCACGACACTATCCGTGACAAAACAAACACAAATTATCTTTATCTTTGCATCCAAACAATCAATTTCTAAACAACAAATGCCCACAAAACCTTATCATGAACCTTTGCAATCCCAAACCTACCGTCCATCTTCCTTACATAATCACTAGCCACATCTCCAAATTCACCATCGGCCACCACCCCCATATTTTGCACACACAACTATTGTTTAACAAACACCAACTACTGACCAGCAAAAATCTACCTTCTTCAACCCCATGGATCACTAACCCAAAGCACCAAGCCACCATTACATAGTGCTATACCCATCTAAAAAACTATGATAAAAAGTAAGTGATATAGAAAATTTTCCAAAGAAAGAAAGTCATGGGCTTGGATTGTGGACCCTAAAGCTACCAGTGTAGACTCTGTGAGTGATCTCGGTGAATGGGAACCAGGTTGTCGTCAACATAGAGTGATCTACATCAGGGGTGATCTCTGAACTAGCATGATGGTTGCCGCTGAGGCATTCACAGAAGAGCACACCACTGTAGTGATTGGTAGTGTAGTGGTTCAACTTGCAAAGTTGAATTACCAATATATATTTTGTTAAGGAAAATCTAAGAGACCAGACAATGGTCCTAGATTTTTTCCATCAAAAGTAGATCAATGGTGTGCTTAAAGTTTTGTTGTGAGATCAAATCTTGAGTGCATCCTAGCCATTCATTTCAGTTTTCAAGTTTTGGCCGTGCATGAGACCTCAGTCATCTGTGGGTATCCGAGACGAACGCAATGAGAAACCCTAAACAGAAGCGAGATAGCTTATCAGTTAGGTTGAGGGTGCTACATCAATGCACAGTTAGGCAACATGGTGTTGGGTCAGTTGCAGGCAATGCTGGCATGGAATGCTTTGACTAACACAAGCCTCGATTGGGCAAGCGCCATGATCATGGGAAAGCTTGGTGCGATGAAGCGACATGAGCCATGCTTGGTGCACTTGAGATGTCATGTCTACTTGTGGCACTCAAAGCTGAAGCTTCCTTTGTGGAGTTGCTCTCAGTTGACAAAGCATGGGGCCTATATTTGACAAGACGGGTGACAATTAAACCCTCGATGGTCAAGATGAGAGTCAGTCAGGCTTGAGTTTGGTGGAGTTCAAGTGGCACACAAACAAAAAGTTATTCTACTGCATGCTCGAAAGAATCGGCCAATGACACACGGCTAAGGGGTGCCACGTATCACAAGCGGACCTATATTCCTATACTCAATAATAAAAGTTATGTTTTCTATATATGATGTGTTCTAATTGATTGTATATGGTCTACACAATTAAACCTCTTAAGGATAAGACATGATATTTGCACATAAAACTACTGGGAGTGTGAGCCCTAAGAAGATAATAGATAAATTAACAATTACAGAACCAAATAGATGATATACTTCATAATACATTCTAACAATCAAACAACTAATCAACTAACAACATGCCACTTCCCAACATCCAAAAGATTGATGTATCAGATATTAACCACAACATCCAACCAAGAAAAAAAGAAGAAGAAAGGGAGCAGATTTACCTGCACTCCTATTTCCCTAGTCTCAAACTGAACATAGCACTGGCGAAGAAATCTACCAGTTTTTCCATCATAGATGAAATGGTAATCAACCAATTATAATAATCTCTCTTCGTCACTGTGATCATGAATGTCAAACCAATTATAGGCAAGCAAAAAAAGAAAAAATTATTAGTACAACTTTCTTGATAACTTTCTTTCTGATTATGGAGTCACCAGAATGTAGATAGTGAACACTTAAGGAGAATTTGAAGAGAGGTCAAAAACTTTTGTTGGAGAGACTAAAAGAAAGCTCTTCCTCTGTTAAGCACCATGCCAAGCAAGTACCACTGTTCCCCAACGAAGTATAATGTGAGTATGTTTGGGGTGGCTGGAACAACGTGATCCAAAAAATAGTAGGCACTTTGCTAGCACAGGACAGGAGGGCTTAGGGTTTAGGATTTAGGTGTAGTTCACAAACAGTTCGTTAGGCATCACTAACAATATTTTAACCTCTTAAGACAAATCTTGCTACATTTTGAGAAAAGATAACAATTTCAATATGCTTAAATGACCAAAGATCACATAATCTAAGCATGAGATTCCTAAAATGTGCATACGCATACATACAAATACATGTACAAATGGTGTATGTTATGTGTGTGCAGTTGCAAGTATTCTACATGACTGTTGTTTGATCCAGTCAGAGAAAACAAGGCTTATAATTAGAGGATATGTGAGACATTTTACATAATCTAAGCATCAGATTTAGAAATCATCAAAGTTACATGATACCGTAAGCTATATTCCATGAAATAATCCATAGGCCAAGAAACGAGTGATATACTTACAGCATTACATCAGCAGGCCGTCAAGAAAGTCCAATGGAAATTCAAGAATAGAAGAGTGGCAGGACAAAACAGAAGCACTGAGACAACCTTTGCCGTTTATATCGGTGCCTTTAGAGACTTGCAGTATGGTGTAATGAAGGCGGGATAGTGAGCCATCAGGGTCAACCCAAAGCAAACAGAAACGATCTTCAGCTAGATGAAGCAAGGATGATGTAAAAAGATAATCACCACACCTGAGATGGTGCTCAATCTGCAGATCTTCTATGGGTCCTGAGTAGAGCATTTTGTTGTCAAGATTGTATGCATTTAGCTCTTGATCGACCCAGTACAGCATATTGCCAGCTACTACTGGTTGGCTTAACGTGAACAGAGAAGGATTTAACTTGAAATCTAACCAGGAATTATGTGCAACATCATACTCATAAGTAACAACAGATTGCCGTAATCCCAGCACAATCTGTAATCCCACCACAATCTTGTTGGAAGCTCTACGAGCTACAGCAAATTAAACAACCATAACCATGAGTAGGAAGAGATGGGGGTGAAGGTAGAGCTGTCCATTGACCCCCCTGACCACCCCCATCGTCATCAGGCCCACATGGCTCAAAAACCTCAGCCCAATCACCACCACAATCTGAGCCGCCGCCGCCAAAGACGTATAACTTGCCATGGAGAGCCACAACTTTAGCTTCTGATCTGGGATTAATCATGGGAGAAGCTTCCTTCCAGCCCTCCGTGGGACGATTCGCATCAAAATAATGGACTTGGCGAGTGTGATCATCGTCATGGCCACAGTTTCGAAAACGACGACCGCCAATACAGTAGATGATGGAGCCCAGGGCAGCCGGGGAGGCATCGGAGGAGGAGTCTGGCGGCTGGGTCTGGATTGGAGATAGAATCCGTGAATGCTCTCCCTCTCCCTTGTGGCGATGATTATGGTGAAAAACAAGATTAACTTGTCCTCTTCGGCATCGTCTTCTCCTCTCTTCCTCCGCCTCCTTCTTCTTCTTGTTGCCTGCCATTGTGAAGTGGAACCATTCGATCATATTGTTTCCTACGCGCTTTCCGCGGAAACAAACAGATTGAACATGAGGGAATGATGAACTTGATGACTCTGAAATTTCACTTCTACCTCCGTTTCTTCTTGCCTTCCTTTTCCCTGGTCCTAAGAGAATCGCCATTGTTGCCATGACATCCAAACACAAACCTCTCTTTTGGGAATCTTCCACGAATTCAGGGTAGGCAGCAGCAGAGTAGCAGGCACCCACTGATCAAAGAGGGTTTAGGGTTCACAACAAAAGGCAAACGAAAAAGAGGCTGAAGAAGAAAGGAGGAGGGCAAAAATAAATAAATAAAAAAGAAGGGATCAAAACGCCGTCGTTTTGTTCCGCTGGAGGAACCGCCACACGAAACCACGGCAGACCAGAGGATCTAGACTCCACGGGGAGTATGAATATTCTCAATCCATATCTCATTAAGGTTTTGTTTGTCCTAACCTAAAAAAATTAAAAAGTTACTATCTTATTTAGGCCAAGTTTGGCATCTACCTATCCTATTTACAAAAATTCAAAAGTCACTATCCTATTTAAGTCACACCATCTTATTTAAATCACATCACCTCTCTAACACATCACATCAAACTCAACTCAAACCCCCAATTCATATAAGCCAATAAGTCAAAAAGTGTACTTTTTTAGAATATCTCAAACCAACCCTTAATCACATCATCTTATTTACGTCACATCACCTCTCTATCACATCACTTCAAACCCAACCCATACCCAACTCATATTTCATAAAAAGTTAAAAAGTGTACTTATTTAGATCATCCCAAACCACCCCTAAGAGCTCCTTTGGCATTGGCTTTTTTAGCTAATTGTTTTGTGTTTAGCCTGGTTTTTTTAGTCTCATTTAGTTTTTATTTTGAGACTTTTTTTTACTTTTGTGAGAAAAAAAATATAACGATTATCGATAAAAAGTAATATTTTGTCTTATTGGCTTATATAGTCTATTTTTTTTTTTTTTTGTGATTATTTAACTTCAAAATGTTAGCTAAACCATGGCTAACACCCCCATTTATTCTCTATATAATAATATCACTAATTTTCCTGTTAGCTAATTAAATCTAATTAGGAGTGGGCACGAGTTAGTTGCGATTACGGAATCTTCAATCTGCCATCTGTCTGCCAGATTAGCGGATTGAAGAAAATCAATCCGCATCTGTCCGTCAATCCGGCGGATGTAGATTGAGCGGATTGGCGAATGAATGTGAATCGATTTGGTGATTTAAAATTTTTTAAATTTTCAACATAATCCAATTTGTGCATTTTCTCAAAAAGAAAAAAAAAATTATTACAGTCAATGACTTAAAAGTGTATTACAATCACTGCATGCTTCATCTTTATCTAAAGAAAGAAAATTTAAAACTTTAGAATATTACAATCACTGCATACTTCATCCACATAAAGCATTATAATATGTGGTTATTAAAATATAAAAGCAATTCAAACTACCAAAACTATGAATAGAGCAGTGAATTGTTACATCTATATCTGTTTTTGAAAACAAAAATCAACTAGCATATATCATCTTTTTTATTTATTATTTTTAGAGCTAGATTTAAAAACCAAAAAATATTCAAGTTGAAAACTCTTTTTTAACAGAATATATTCAACAGAATATTTAAATTCTTTTTTAATTGAAAACACAAACAGAATATCTTAACAAATTGAAAACACAAAGGGTGCGTTTGGTTTGTGTTTTGAAATAAATTTTTTTTAAAAATTTTGGGAAGAGAGTTTAGAAATTTTTTTAGTTTGTTTGGATGTATATTTTGAAAATAGTTTTAGAGTTTGGGAGTTTGTAATGATTTGATATTTTGTTGTAATTGAATAGATATGTGTGAAAGAAAAAATGATTGAGAAAGAGAGAGGAGAGAGAAAAAATGATTGATTGATGTGTAGGAGGGAGAAAATGATTTTGGAAATTTTTTTCAAAAAATTTAAACCAAATAAAATTTTGAAAATTTTTCTAAAAAATTATATCTTGAAATACAAACCAAACAAGCCCAAAGTTTTACAAATTCCTAGGAGTGTTGGCAGTTTGGCGGTTCAGTTGCGGCTAAAAGAGCCTCAAATTCGCCATCCATCCAAAACTAGGCGAATTAAAAAAAATCAATCCGCAACCGTTTACTCGTCATTACGCATCCGTTCAAAATGCAACGAATCGGTTCGGTTCGGTTCGGTTCGGTTTGATTGGTTTGGGCGAATCAGTATATCCGTTGCTCACCCCTACATCTAATTGTCTATTTACTTTATTTTTAAAGTTAAGTTTCATTATAATAGTTGTTTGAAACGTTAAGGTTTTTTTTAAAAAAATTAATTAAAATTTTTACCATTATTTATATGCAATAGGGTAATTGCAGATACCGATTGGGTCGGGTGACATCCTATTTGCAATTTGTTCAAAATTAGACGGATTGAAAAAAATCAATTCTTATTCGTCCACCAATTTAGCAGATGCAGATTGAGCAGGTCATGTGGGTTAACGAATAGATGTGATCGGTTTAGCAGTTTGAACTTTACAAATTTTGAGTATTTTTTTTGAGTTATAATTCATTACTTTTACAATTTTCAATAACTAGTTATTTGAAAAGCTATGTATTATTTTTCTATAATAAGCCATGGCACCAAGCATGTATATTTTTTATGTATTGTTTTCTATTTTCACAAAAATGTATATTTTATTATTTCTATTCTATGTTGTTACTTATTAGCAGTTTTTTTTATTTTTATTTTTTTTATGTGGGTACGAGATGGTTGATCAACCACTCCAACTGTATCCGTAGATTTTGAAATATTTCATCCGCATCGGTCTGGCCAAAAACACGTGTCCGCCCAAAATTAGTTGGATTGGGTTGCGTTAGATGGGTTGAACGGATCCATGATCACCCTGTGCAACCACACATCTAAGGAATTGGTCAAGAAATTTATATAATATTGATTATTTATGTTTAAAATTTTTATATTTTTGAAAACTACAACCACATTGTGATTTACTATGACCTATGAAACACGAATACCGATATCGGATAATAATTGCTAAAAGCCTTATTTGACCACTTTAGGAGCGACCGTTCATTGACAGTATGGGGGAAATCCTTTATGAAGGGCAGTGTTTTTAAAGGCTCAAATCACACTAAGGCATTGAAGGTCTCTTTGGGCTTAGGCGCAAGGCAAGGCACACGCTTCATTTAAGCGAGGTGCACCTTTCAGTAAAAAATAGAAAAATTGACATACACTAATAATTTGGACATCAATAAAGAATTCACAACTTATAACCACTAAAAAAAAGAAATAAAAAATAAAAGAACTAAAGCAAATTGTAGAAGAATTTGGAACATCTTTGTAGGACAGTAGCAAACCAGGGGAAGGGAAGAGAAAACCAAAGTAGAAAATCAACAAAATGGAAAAAAAAAAAAAAATGAACCAAAGAGGAGAAGAAAAAAAGAAGAAGAGAAGGAGAAAAAAAAGAAATAAGAAATGGAAGAAGAGAAAGAGAAGCAACGTCTTGACACTATTCTCGAATGAAGAGCGCTTTTCTTGCGTCTTGCGCCTGACAAGCTCAAGGCATGCGCCTTGATGCGCTTCTTTGAATGCGCCTCACCTGAGCTTGTACAAGTCGCAGAAGCTGTTCCTCACTGCACCTAGGTGTGTCTTTTACAACACTGCATTAGATACATTTATATCTAAAAACTCGATCTAGTGACAACACAAGGCCTTCCAAATGTTGAGCAAGTGTGATGCAGAGTATAAGAAGCTCAAGGAATAGTAAATTCAAAGAATAAGAGTAAATTCAAAGAAGTGATGATATATGAAAATTGACATGATTTCAAAGAAAAACTGAAAGGAACCATACATGATTATGCATCTAGTATGATTAGCCTTATTTTATGATTATTTTTATTTTTTCTAGAATTTTTAGGTCAAGGATAATTTGGTAATTTTATAATTTTATGGACATGGGTTATACATGTCGCCCATAGGTCATCTGATGAGTCAAGTTATTTAATTGATTTTTGTTTATATTTCTTATTTGGTCTTTAGATGGGTTTTGGAAGTCAAAGTCTTAAAATAGTTTTCTTTTTCAAGAAGTCTCCTAATTCTGTATTTTTTTTTTATTATATTTTTTTTGATCGACAAAATAAAGAACTTTATTGATGAAATAAAGTAGTGCAAGAAGTACAACGAAATTACATCAAAAAAAAAAAAAAACACTTACGAACTTGTATGGCATAAGCACCAAACAAAACCACACCAATCCAAACAAATTTGGCACCACAACCACCTAAGCAGCAATAACCAGACAAAAAACACGACTCCAGCAACAACCACAAACACAGCAAAAAGAA